AAAACTGAAGTGAAAAAATAAATTCGAAATTTCAGTTGTTTAGTAAACAAAGTCGCATTAGTTTAAATATATCTTTTTCTATTAATAGAAAAATTTTAGAAATTATTGTAAAACAAAACAGAAATTCTTTTTTCTAAGGATTTTATCAAATCATTTTTCGATTTTTACCCTATGAAAAGAAAAAGATTTTTTTCTATTATATTGGTAAATAGAAAAAAAAAACAGATTCAAAATTTATTTTTAAAAAATCTCTCAACTAAACGGTTGAGGGTGTGTATGAGAGGTAAATATAATACCCTCACCCACCCTCTAGATGGGTAGTTTAGGAAAAATCTATGACAGAATATGAACAATCACTTGCAATTAAATTATCATATTTATCAGACAATAAATCAGAACTCTCTCTCTCTTACAATTGCTAATATGAGTTGTATTTATCGAGACTTAGGTGATTTAGATCTTGCTTTAACATATATTCAACGAGTTCTTTACATTGATCAACATCACTCAAATGATAAAGAGAATGAACGAAGCAGTTGAACAATTTGAAAAAGTATCAACACATCTTTCTATTCCTGAATCGTTAAACAATCTAGCTACAATATATTATGGACAAGAGTATTATGATCAAACTTTGAACATCTATGAAAAGATCAATGTAAGTAAATTTCATTTATTTGTATAATAAACTTTTGATTGATATAATCTTTATTATAATATTTCATTTCATGTCAAATCACCAAAAACTATTCATAGTTTTTAATCTATCAAACACACAATTATACGTATGAAAACAAAGGTAAGAGAAAGGAAAGAATATAAACATATAAATTGAAATAAAGTACACAAGCGTAGGCTAATTTTATAAAAACAAAACATGTCAAAATGTATATATATGCGTCATCGTTTTTGAAAGGGCTAAAGTATTTTTAAAGTTAAAATCTCATGTCCACACTAGATGTTGAATAGAAAATAAATTATTCAGATAATTTTTAGAACCATTCAGATCATTAAAATAGTCAAAATCAATCTTTACACTTAGCAAAAAATTCTAAATGTGTAATAGAAAATATAGTGAGCATTGCGAAAATAGATGTAGTAGAATTATACTTATCTTTTACCTTTTTAGATCGTTCTCAAATCAAAGACTATTCTCGAAGTTTATATCATATAATATTCAATTTTTTTATTTAATCTTTTTTCAGTAATTTCTTTAATTGTGGACTAACAAATGGTTGACTAATAAAAGCGAATATAAGTGCATTTATAGAAGCTGAAACCCATTCAATACGATAAATTAATGGATCAAGTTTACCTCGTGGAACTTAAATAATTAAATCAATGATAGGTGGAAGTGAAGCTATATTTAATATAATTACAACTATCATAATACGTCGAATAATAATATAATCTCGTCGATTTCGTTGTTTATAAGGTAATATGAATGATAATCGACGCATTTTATAAATAATACAAATAATCGATAAAGGTAAAGCAAAAACAATCGAAAATAGATATATTAATGAAGCAAATTCATTCACTACTGCTATACAATAATCTTCATTTGGAATCAATTACATATCATTGAATAATAAAAAATAAGGTAAAACACTAAAAAATTATAATAGAATATGACTTGGAATAAATATATATATTTTGGATAAACAATACGAATAAAACGAAAGAATGATTGAAGAGCACAACTCCAATATAGACAACTAACTAACTAATGAAAAAAATAAATATTCACGAAATTGACAAAAAAATAAATTATTCGATTTAGAAATTAAATAAAAATCACGTATTAATGTAGACAAATTGACGTCTATCAATTGTATCAAACTAGAGTATTGAAAGAAAGTATAAGAGGTACTTCAATTTTAACTGATTTTGAATAATATTCAACTTGGATATGTTTATATAGAATCAAAATAATTGAAATAATGAACGTCATTAATTCAGCACCAATTGAGACTAAATTTAACACCATATCAGGATATATTGATACAGAAATATTTAACATTTCGACATTCGAAAAAATCAACTAAAAGAGTTTTCTTTGAAATAATTTAAATATCGGATATTTATACAACATAGTTTACTTCATCAATTGCTCGTAAATAATAACCGACTAAAGCTTTGAAATCAATCAATTAACTTTGCTCATCTTTTCTGATAATGAAAAGAAAAATAAGATAAAAAGAAACAAGCTAGTTTCATCATTAATATTATTAATTCATACGAAAATATGAAATAACATGGATAGAAATTCCATAGAGAATATTATTACTAATTTTCTTCTTTCTCTCTTTCTTCAGTTTATGTTCTTTCCAAACATTAATCTATCTTAAACATATTTATATTATTCTATACTTCACATTACAATCAAATAATATTTCTTTCATATATTAAATTTATATTAGGAAAATGTTGACACAATCTCTTTCACAATAAATATATCACACATTCTAAAATAGATAGGAATAGAGAAATTGTTTCAATTCTTCTTTACAATAAAAATAAACTGTGTAAATTTATTTTTAACTTCTTTTTAACTATTTTTACTTTATAATATAAAAATAGAGCGAGAATTAATTTTTTCTGATGAAATATCGAAGAGAAAGTCGAGTATGAAATTATACGATTATTTCTAAACTTCTTTTTATTGATTTGATGTTTTCGAAGAGTGTAAATAAATGAAATTTTAATACAATATCAATGTCTCGACACTCAACTATTTTTGTTATCTTTTTTATGCAAAGTAAATCTATAAATTATCAAGTTTAATATAAATAGTTTTGTCATGTTTCACTTCAAAGTCTCAAATGAATTACGCTATAATTATTGATTATTAACTGACCATATTTATGATTGTTTTCGTCGTAGATTATTCTTTAATTGATAGAAATATTCTATAATCAGTGTTAATTAAGCATGTTTCCACAGATTCACAAAGTCTATTTTATTCAAATCATTTTCTCATTTTTGCAAATGTTTGCATTAATTTCGTAAAAGATTCATCTTTGCTTTGTATTTTATTGTTCAATGAAGTATTTTCTTTTCTTTAATTTTTGTTATATCGATAAAAAGGAGAAAATTTATGAATAAACGCTGAATTGTTTATTTTCACTAAAAGAGAAGTTTGTTACAGAATAAATAAATATAGTTGTACTAGAAGAATTTATTTTCGCAATTACAAATATAAAACGTGACTTTTATTGGTCGATGATTTGAATGAACACATTCAAATAATTTCTTTCGATTATAAACTTGGATCATGCGAAAAATATTTAGAAAACTATATTTATCACGATGGATTTCTTTTCAATATGCTAGAGAATGAATATTCTCGTTATAGTATTAA